CGAATCTATGCCTATCAAAAAGTAACAAAGGCTTGGAGGATGTGACGATTTAATTTGGTCTAACTTTAGCAATTATAGGCTATTCATATTTATTATTCTTATTATTATCGTTTTTTATTATTATTATGATTATGAATAGGAACCTCAACCAAAGGGGCCAAATGGGCTGTTGTTCGGGCAGCTTTAGCGGCTCTGGCCTGGCCTTGTGCACGTCCTTGCCTTATTGCTACCATAATGGCAAAGTCTAGTGTAAAGTCTTCTCAGAAGAGTAGAAGCTGTACCGCTTCAAAAGAGGACAAACTTTGATTTCGGAAGAAACGTTGAATCATCATGTCTACCAACTTTTTTGGACTAATAGTGTCCCTGCTAGAAAAACAAGCATAGATCAGCATAGCTGACCAGCTACACCAGCACCAGACCAGTTCAGACCAGCATGCCTTTCGGGCTAGTTTTTTTTATATTTTTCAGCAGGAGTGTTCAGTTACAGTCACACAGAAGGCATTGAAGGGACCCCATAAAGTAGGGAATACAAACGTTTGTGTGTATGTGTGTGCCGCATCGTCTTCACAGCATCATCCCACCTACACGTTTCTTAATGACCTCCCACTCTGGGCTCTGTCGCCGTGGCTGCTTTGGTGAAGGGTTCAGGCTGCCAGGCGCTCAGTAATGAGACAACTCCGCCACGCTGCTCTTAATAAATTGCAGTTATGATTACTATCACAACCTCTTCAATCAGCGGCAAGTGCGTTTATCCCTGACGGACCAGTGCGCTCCCATTACTACAGATACGGACTGTCGCAGCGATTCGACACCTCAAAGGAACCGAGCAGTAATGACAGACAGCAAGCAAGAAGACTGTAGGCAGCCTGTTCCATTTAATTAGGGCTTAGAGAGGCAAACAGTGCTAATCAGAGACTGATCTGTAGCTGAATTCAAGCTTAAAGATAATGGATCGTTTAGACTGATGGAGGATCAAAAATAAACATGTAGCTAATTTTTTTTTATATGTGAACAAATCTACACAAAATTCACATATGCTAATTTAATAATTTTCATGTGAAGAAATGACACCAGTGAGCATATTTTTTTGTTGTGCTAGTACAGCCGCATCACTGACCCTGTGACTGGGTGGAACATTTCATGCAAAACTGGCTGCTACGATCCCTGATATCAAGAGCAGACCTTCTAATGTCGGTTTTTAAAAGTAAATTACATGACATTACTGTGAATACTGCAAAATATTTCATAAAACACCGTTTACTCTGTCTGTATTGTGTAACAGGCTGGTCTTTATGCTTGTTGCATTAAAACATTTTTTCTTCAAAATTAACATATTTTTATTCAAACAAAATATGCGTTAATGTTAAACAGTTACACGTCTGAGCATGGCAACAGTTTGATGTTAATATGACGGAATTTTGTTCGATTTTTTTCTTCTGTCTTCGTGTACGCAGTTGTATGCAAATCCGAATCACGGGAAGTGAAAATAATAAGTTCACGTCCTTTCGAGGAAAACTTAAATATGCCATTTTTGTACAAATTTAATGCATGAGTTCAACATACTGAAACAAATAAAATACATTACATAAAATGTGCCATAACCTTTGTAGAGGCCACATTTCATGTTTTACTTTTGCCTAATATGTTACATTCAGCAAATAAACAGTAATTGTGTAACAGAAATAGAGTAAAACAGTAAAAAAGGAATAAAATGCAATAAAATGTTCATGCTAATGTCAATGAAGACATTTTAACGAATATGTATAAATTTGAAAAACACTTGTTAGCAGATTTTTGGTCTCTTATCTGCAGCATCAAACGTCGTGTCCACTGGCACAGTTTTCATTGAATGACTCAAATACCTTACATCTATTTTTAAACAGACGTAGAGCAGCCGCGAAATTCAGCTTCCCTCCATAAAACTGACAGTAATTAACATCTATTTCACTGGCTCCTAAACCCAAAGTATGCGCTGTGTTTTCCCACACTGAATAGCATCCATTTATCCAGTTAGGTTTAGGAGATGACAAATACCGCCCAAAAGGAAAAAAAGAAGAGAAAAAAAGGACGAGAAAAACAAACGAGGGGAATCTACATGAACGAAGTCTAAAAATGCCTCGTTGCCATGGCTACGCGGCCCTAATCCCAGCCGAAAGCTGAAAGCGTGCGCGCGGAGCTGCGCTGAGTGACAGCCGCGCAGAGCGAGAGGAAAGCTGCGCGTGAGACACTCGCTCATGGGGGAAACGGCAGAGTGAACCCAAACAGCGAGCTCTTTTGTCATTGCCCAAGCGCGACTACGCCAACGTCTTCAGCTCAAATGCTGCCTGAAGAGAATCAGGAATCAGCCACGGGCTTGTGCTTTGGTAAATACTACTCACAGTTAATTGGAGTTACAAACCAACGACTACAAATCATTAGTACACAGTCTTCGACATACTTATGTTATGGCCATATGTAATGGTACCCATGAGGGTTTTTTTACCCAAAACTCTCGAAAAATGTAAAGAAGAATTCCACTGATTTTTCAATATTTTTATGGCCATCGTAAACATTAAGCAAATATTTTACATAAAACTTATTTCAAAAACATAAAAATATACTTTACTTATTTAAATTCATTAGAAGCAACCCAATTTGGATAAATCCAAAACTGATTTAATTGAATTGTATAAGACCTATTAGATTTTTCCACTAAATCTTATTAGGAGGCAGTGCACATGTGCAATATTAACAGGAAACGCATCATCAACCAGGAAATTGCTTCAGCTGGCATGGTGGACATGAAATGGCTCTTTTTATTTTTACAATCTCCTGTCATCCTTTGTTATACAGTGCAAATGCAATTAAATAGTAATGCGCATTAACTTAATTTGTGTTTTTAATGTTTTTTGACCATATATTACTGTTTCATTTTGCTTATTTTGAGATCTTTGCTAGGCCTGCTGTCATGTTAACGGGTACAAAAGGTAGATTAAATAAACAATGGGGGTGACTTATTGTGAAGCATAGTATATAAAGATATATTCCATTAATATTCAAATCAACAGTTCAAGGTGACTTCGACATATTAGCATGGCATGAAGTGACTGATAGCGTTAGCTACCTAACTTGCATGATGGTTAGCATGAGAGTTGCACCTCAATAGGAATGTTGTGTGCACATAAACATTTGCTTTAATCAGTAGTTAAGATGCAAGTGAATAGAAATTCTAAACCAGGGAATTTGATCACAGCTGAAATATATAAAGTTGTGTTTATTTCTTTCACATTAGATTTTAAAGTTTACATGTGTCTTGTAAGGAGCCTCAGCAAATACTGTTTAATACAGTTTGGACTAAAATAAATGTTTGTGAATTTAACATGTCATTTGATACATTTACACAGTCTACATAATTGTGCTGTGAATACAGAAGGTACTTTTAACTCTTTAGAAATACATAAATATTATGTAAAAGAATTGCATAAATCCTACAAGTACTTCTAATTTAAACGTTATTTAATTCATTCAGGTTTATTGAACATGATGGAGAAACAAATTATAATACCATTTTCACATTGGATTTATGTGTTTAAATTGAATGAAAAATTGACATGTAATTAAAATACATAAGTTTTAACTTTTGGGCTTAAATATTTTTTTGAGTGTGTGAATAAAGTCATTCAGTGTGACTTGATGTGAGATGGAGTGTTGTAGGGAATCTGATAGACTGATAGAAGATAAGATTGGCTTTACAGTGGTGGTAATAGGAACCAGGAGTGGCAATGTCTGCAACGCAAATTTATCCATAACCTACTTCGGTCTTCTGAGTTCTTAAATGTGATGTTGATAACAGCACAGTAGTGGTATTTTGCTGTGCAGAAACCTGCATGTACTATCAAAACACAATGTCACAGGTATGAGGCATTGTATTCATAACCATTTCATATAATAACTTCCTGTGTGTCAGTTAGAGCAGGGGTGTCCAGTCTTATCCAGAAAGGGCAAGTGTGACTGCAGGCTACAAAGCAGAAGCACACTTGATCAGCTATTTAAAGACTGAGACTGACTGGTGAAATCAGGGGAATCAGACGTGCTCTGCTTGTCTGGAATGAAAACATGCACCCCTACTGTCCCTTTGCAGGTAAGATTGGACACCACAGTTTTAGAGGCATTAGATGTCTCTGATATTTCGTTCCTATAACCACCACTCTTAACAGTTCTAACTCTGTAAGTTTCTTCAGAATTTGATTTCACATCAAACCACTTGACTTTGTTTACATCTTAACAATTTAATAAGGCAGAAATATTACAAAATAGTGGAATTCTTTTTTAACTCATTGCCACCACATTGCTCCTCAATCTGCATCCCCTGTCCAATTTTCACCATGCATACGCAGCACTGTCATGCATGGGATGCACTACATTGTGTTTTACAGTGCTGCCTGATAAGTAACGTGCATGTCCATCTTTTATGCCATTACATCGTATTATATTTGTAAATTGTGAACATGCATGTCATGCATATAACTACATAACAATGCTTAATGTAGAAACCGCTGTAAAAGTAGCTGTTGTTTATCTGTTTACCACCTATGATAACACTAAATTCTGCCAGCTCCTCTATGGGATCCATGTAATTTTAGAACCAAGCTGGTGTACATTCACATTCCTACCCTGGGTTAAAATACTACTTCCTATTATATAGTGTTTCTATCTCTCTGTGGTTGAAAAAACATTTAAATTATAGCTTTTTTCCTTAAAAATATCTAATAACAATCATTTGTTTTTTTATTGTCATTTTCATACCTTTATTCACAATCAAATTGGGATTTTCTGTAATTTTGTTAAATATGATATGCACATTATTGGATTAAGCGGATGCAGCTCTATGGGGAAATAACATATTTGAGCATAAAAGTGAAGATAATTTCAATTAATATAACCTGAGTAGTGCGGGGAGTGATTTTGATGGACTATGATGCAGTAATTTTATTTTAAAAAATGCAGCCAAACTATGATCGTCACAACAATCAAAATCTTTATTCAAATTAAGTAAACCTACAGCAACACTTCTTGTCGTTCTTGCGAAGGAAAAGGACAGTCACTAAGTTTTAGTGTCCCACTAACTGAAATTACCTTATATAATGGTGATGTATTTTTATTGACACCTCAACAGAAGTACATCAGAACAGCCGATCATTTAAGATCACTGAGGAATAGAATCGCAATTTTTCTTTTTTTTTCCTTTTTTGGATGAATTTTGGGTATTTTGGTGTGTTGTTATACGTGTGTGCTATATTCAGTGTTGTTTAAATGTGGATGAACAGGTAGTGTACATGATATTACTAATTTCATTTCCCTTCTATTAGTTCTCATGAGTGAAATCCATGGGGTTGCCCAGGCGTTCGCTGATCGGTGTGCTGAAGGTGGTGTTCTTCTTAAACGGTCCATCTGGACTTCCGACTCCTGTAACTCCCTGTTAAATAAAACAGTTACTTTCCTGAGTACCCATATTTGATATATATGGGTGGGCAACTAATGACTATGCACAATGTGTCAGCCTCTCTCTGCCCCATTAACCATTGATCAATTCCTGACCACAGGACCGCAGTTCACCAGATGTTATTTGTATGGAGGATGTTTAAATCAGTTATTCATGATGTTCATGCAGGTCTTCATGGTAGTCAGTACATTAATAGTGGGAAACTGAACAGTGAGACATCATAGAACAAGAGTGTTAATATACATATTTAGCAAAACTCTTCATGTTTCATCTGTTCTATATGTTTGTTGAACTCAAAGTAAGGTGGTGAAATAGCTAAAGCATTACATCTATGTGGGTTCATGATATTTGTGGCCCTCCAAGTAAAGTGGTGAAATATTCCTTCTTTATCACTGTTGTATTCATGTAGAAATAATTGGGGAATGCCATTAAATAAGTCATCTTTTTATCCTAATTTTGAAAAGTGCCTACATATGGCATTCATTAATCAAATACATCCCTCACTGGAGCACATTAAACACTCATTTTAATATTGCATATATAGCAGGTGGTGTAATAAATAAATGACTGAAAATCCCTGAAAAGTTTCTTTTTATTTTCCTCAAAATATGAGGGGGAAAGCACACTCCTTGTAAGTGTAGCTGGTGTCTACTCTAGCACGTTAGTGCTTGCATAGCCTACGTATGTTCGATTTTGAGGTGAAGAAAAATACGTTTTTCAAGGAAGGCATATTCTATCTTAACGGATTAGTTTGCAGTTAAATGGTTAAACGAGGTCTAACTGCAGAGTTGAAGTACCAAACTTTCAGAGTCTGGCTGCCAAACTAATTTTCTCAGCTCCGGATACAACGTTACATAGTCGTCTAGAGGTCAAGTTATTAGCTATTGTACCTTGCATTTTATTACATAGAGGGCAATGTACTATGGCTTTATTTCTGTAAATACTGTAGCATCAACACAGACGAAAACATTGTGCGTACGGACAAATGCTCTTCATTGGAACAGGCACTTCAAACAAAGACAAAAAACACTCAGCCCAGAGCTACCCAACACAGGGCCAGGGAGGCTGTAACATAGGAGGACATGACACGTGGAGGGTGGACAAACTCACACAAAGCCCACCCTCCACAGACACAACTAAGCAACCCAATTGCAACACATAACAATACCAGCTCCAAAAAGCTCTTCTACCAGGAGTGCGACTCTGCCCAAAAGCCACTTTACATGGCCACATCCCCTAAGCTCCTCACAGCGGCGCAGCCTGTGTTGGACGCCACAATTCTAATGGCTGAATCCCCACTTCCTACACAGTAGGTACCTACTACATAGGTCAGGACACTATGGCTTCTGTGCACAAATTGTGCTTTAAATGTTAGATAGCGAGTTGTGTGTTAATGGCTGAATATAAGCTCAACATATATTGCACTATTAGGGTTTAGCAGCCATTATTTTATGACCTACATAATGCATTAGATATTACTGGGGTTAGCCTGGTGTTACGGTGTCACGAGGCCTCTAACTACAGACTGTGGGACAGCGAAGCTAGACATCCATACCCAATGTATCACTTTGTTAGCCACACTCCCTCTTCCAACTTACTGGATCATGAAGGAAAGAGTAAGTGTAGATTACAATTTAATGATCTTGGTTTATATTTCTTGATCAATTGGACAGCTTAGACCACCATGAATGGTGACCAATGGTGGCCTTTCTAGGGCGGGACTTCTTTTTGTGTTTCAGATAAAGAGAATCGGACAGAAAACACCCCAAGCAGCGAAACAGTGGAATAGCTAAAGATTGTAAGAGTGGATTGCTGAATAATCAAGTTGGAGTAGTAGGCAGGGTAGTAGGCAGTGCCTACTCCCTAGCAGGTCATTGGCTTGGTGAGAAAGTTGCTGGGGGATGGAAATCTAAATTCAATGGTCAATGGAAAATCTAAATAACTCACGACAAACAGATGAGCATTTGTATCCCCAGCCTGCGATGCTACCTATTATGGAATTAAAGAGGACTTTTTTCTTTTCTGTATTTATTTAGTAACCCTAAGTATGCTGCTACACACTGACTTTATTTGCTGTATTGACTTTCAGTGGCTAAGGATGAACTTTTAGTGGGATGTACTCATCTAATCCACCAAATAATTTAAAGGAGTGTATGTGTTGTTTGATTAAATATATGCATGCTTGTATTTAGCTTGAAATAAAAGTCTACACAACTATGATTAACTAACAAGCTAGTTTTAAGGGTTGTAGTGTTGCCTTGTATCTTCTTCAAAGAGCCTATTTGAGCTAATATGTCTAAGAGCCTAGGCTGAGTCCTTTTCTGTTTTGTACTTTTTATTTATTTTTTTATTCTATTTTGTTGTTAGTCTATTAAGTTAAAAGGCTGGACTTTTTTTGCTATTTTGGAGTTTGTCTGATTGCTCACACACTGGACTAAGAACTTGCTTAACCATATAAAGCTAATAGTTTGAAGTACAAATTTCCTATGGCTCTGGCCCCTCTTTGGTGGCGTAGTTGTACATTATTTTTATTAATCCCCTTATATGATGGGTATTATTTCTAGCACAGTCAGCAGGACCATGTATTGTGAGTAATATCAGACAACCTTTTTCTATTTTTGTTCTCATTTCTTTTTAATTTCAGTGCGAAGAATGATGATGTCAATATTAGCAGGTGCACCTTGGCTTCCAAAATTTTGTTGTGAGAAGGGAGAGCTTAAGTATGCAGAATGGAAAAATAGATTCCAAGCCTATAAGGGGCTGCACAGTATTCTGATGATCAGCAAAGTAACTTTATCATAAGGGCTTTAACAGGCGAAGTTAAATGTGAAGTTATTGTATTAGAAGTAGGAGAATGAGGCCACCATCCAGTTTTTACATATACTTTATGGAGATCAAGTAACCGTTCCAGTTTTGCGTTCCCAGTTTTTTGCTTGCATGCAAAAAGTGTATAAACCGTTAGGGGCATTCATTTTGCATTTGAAAGTACTGTCTTGCAGACTGCAGGGGCATGACCCAGCTGAGGCCCCCTCAGACACCCAGCTCAGAAACCAGTTATTACTTGGCCTTAGTTATAGTAGTTGGCGACAAGCCCTTAAGATGTATGTGTGCTGTAATCCAGATAAATCCTTTGTTGCTGTCTGCCAAGAAGCTACCTTACTGGATAGAGAACATCATGGACCAGGGTTTCAAGAGACAGTGTGCAGCACTAGTGATGAGTGTCACAGTACTGAGTCTCGCCCACTGGAAAATGACCGGAAAGAAGCCCTCAAACAAGAGATGTTGGGAAAAGTCAAAAAACAGTTGATAGAATGGACATGTAAGTTGCTTAGAGAACTGAAACCTGCTGTGAGTTCACCTGCACGTTATGTACCCGCAACAGCTAGCCAGCCTGCAGGGAGGTGGAGTCTACATCTGCTCCCCAATGCATGGGATGTGGATGGTCAGCCCATGTCGCATTGTAAACAATCCGGACATTTTACACATAATTGTAGAAATACTTCTGTTAGACCAGCTTTAACTAAATGTTCCTTCTGCTGAGGTCCGAGCTGCATGGCTGGGTGAACAACTTGGGGCCATTGAAATAATTACTTGAAATTGCATCTGTTGAGCTTCATGTAGAGGGTGTTAAACTCATTGGGCTTTTAGATACAGGATCTCAAGTCACTTTAATGTGACAGAGTTTGTTTGATCAACATGGGTGTAAAACTGGCCTCAAAGTTTTGATGGTATTAATTCATCGCCTTCTGTCAACAGACTATTGCTGCTACCAATTTATGAACTATGTATGGCCTGCTAACCATTGCAGTTTTAGAGTGTCTGCAAGGTGTGTAGTTTGGGGCCATGAGCGCATGGGCCCCCGAGGGACTGACTACTGTGGAATGGTTGAGGCATTGCCGGGACCTCGTTCCACTGGTTAGAGTGGTGGCAACAGTAAGACATAAAAGAATACCCATACAAATTTATAATTGAAACCCTTATGTTTTGTCAATAGGGCACTATCAAAAGCTGGGCCAGCTGTTTAGGTATTTTTTGTATTTTTTGTTTAGTCAAAACCTGATGCTCTTCATATTTTAATTGTTTTTATTTTATTAAATTATGAGGCTTTTGCTCAGTGTTTATGTGCTGCTAAGTACTGCATATTTTTGTTGCATAAAAAATTACATTAAATCTCACAGCCATCTAGGAGTCCATGGGAGCACAATTGTCCTCTCTCTCTCTTTAAGCGTTGGTAGGATGGTTAATTAATGGCTCTCCTCATTTTTTTCATCAGAAACACATTAGCGATAAATAAGGAATATTTCACCACTTCACTTTGAGGGCCTCAAATGTCACAAAGAAGTAATGCTCTAGTTATATGTAACTTTATGCTTGTGTTTTATGAGGTGGTGGCTTACCATTCCCCACAATTTTGGTGCTGACCACCATGAGTACTTGTATGCACATCATGAATAACTGATTTAAATGGATGATATTGGTACCTCAATTAATATATGAATTAATACATTGCTCCTGTATTAAGGCATGCATGAGACATGGTTACTTTATGCACATTCAAGATGACTCATGATGTATTAAATGTATGAATGAACAATTACTCATGCATGAAATAATGCATGAATCAGTGCTATTTCATGTACCTTTATTGTATATTCTTAACAAATGTAATTCTAACACCATACAGTACCTGAACCTTCTGGTAGTTTTCCCTCCAGAATGTGATGGCTTGGTCAGTTTTGTAGTCACAGTTCTAAAAAACAAAGGTAATTTCATTTTCTCATCACTATAATTAAAGATTTATTGTGGTAATTTTATTGCCTTTATAATGGAAATGTAGAGTAAATGAAAATTAGATTATTCTGTACACTGCCCATCATAGGTCTGGGGATATGCTGCCTTAGTTTTTTCATTTTCACCATTGCTTTTCAATTAAATATGAACAAATACCTGCAAAGGTTTTGTTAATATCAAATAGCTAATTCAGTACAGAAAAGTAATACATTCAGTTAACTTGGTTTGTAGGTTTGCAGGCATTTGCTCATCCAACATATGGAGTTTGTCCTTCTTTGCTGCAGTAACAGCCTCTATGTCTCTGGGAAGGCTTTACACTAAATTTTGGAACATTGCTGAGTGGATTTGATTGCAGTGAGCCACAAGGTCATCATGGGGTCAGGTACTGATGTTGGATTATTAGTTCTGGATCACAAATGCCACTCCAGCGTTTCACAGCCCAGTGCTGGGGGTGGCTTTATACCCTTCTAGTAGACACTTGGCGTTGGGTATGACAGACCTTAGGCTCAATGTGACTGCTTCGTTCTAATGCCAGTGCTTTTCTATAGATTATATAAGCTGTGTGTGCACAGTTGAACGCTTGCATCAGCAATGGTTGCACCTTACAGTAGCCCAACATACCAGTTAGAAGGAGTATCTGGAAACTTGAGGACATATAGTGTATGAAGAGTAGTTTTTTCATTTATTACAACCCTTTTGGAAAGCTGTGGAAACCCTTTTGGAAAGTATCCCTAAACTTTTGATGTACAGTGTATATGCAGAGTGAAAGCTGAATGTAGTGGCAAACCGTGGATGGAGCTGAGCGGACAGATTTGAAACCCTCTGCTGTGTAGTCAGCTCTGGTTACGGAGCACAGCTCTTGGGCTGTAAGCTCTGAGTTGAGCTCTGCTTGTATCTGCTCACTGTAATACAAATCACAATTCTGTCACTACTCTTTAAAACAATATTCCAACATTTTAACGTACAGTCAATTACCACAGTAATCAGACAGTAATTCTGCTGTCTGCTGTACTGTGTATTTCAAACTTATATAATAATAGCAGCCACTGGGCATAGAGGTCTGATAGAGGTGGGCAGTGTAGTCAAAACCCATAAAATTAACGCTATTTCTGTGAAATAGTGGCTTAAATTACCTTCATAGTCAAAAACCTACTGAGTAACTAGTACTGCAGTGAAACCTCAGCAAAGAAGGCACCGTTGTTTCCTTTTTGGATCTATTTGGTCTAAAATAAAATGATAAACCTTCAAACTGAGCAACACACCACAATGACATTAACCCCAAAAAAGGCCTTAGAAACTAAATGTCAATGACTAAAATGCAACAAAGTAAAAAGTAGATTCCTGAGCAAAAGTAAAAGTATCATTTGAAAATACAAATCTATCAAAGTATTATCTGAATACATGAAACTGAGTAAACATAATGTCTAATTCCAGAAAAGCGTTAGTGAAAGCAAACGTAACCAGAACTGCTTTTTACTTGGTTGCTCCAGTGTTGGAAAGTTGGATAAAAGTTCATAAGAATAGCTTTGGTAAAACATTTCTCACATCTGTCTTATCCTAGGACCTGTACTTTTATAGTGTAATTGTATACTTTATATAGACATACATGTTTACTGACAAAAATCAGCAACTATCTGTCTTCCATTATTGGAGTTTTGAGTAGATGGGTATTTTAGTCCTTTTTGTTATAAGTGAAATATTGCCCAGAAAAATCAACTACAGGCTACAAATGTGGCAAGTAGAGATTAGGTTTAAAATGCTGAGGCATTCCTTTAACAGGGCTCTGCAGCCAAGGTTACTCATGTCACCTCACTGAAATTCATTGTATTTAAAATTTCCATGCTTGAATATCTCAGTAAGATAAGACTTTAAATCACTGAGCCACAACAAAAAAGTGCACTCATTTCTGAAAGCGGGAGAGGAAAAAAAACATATTTTTCCTCTACAGTGTGAGATGGCACGACCTGCTCTGCTCTCCAAGTGGGGCCTCTAACAGATGGAGGTAGGGCAGCAGATTGCGATAAGTGTTGGCATCTCAGGCTAACATTTACTCATGGTCCTCTCCTGGGCATAGAGTGCCATAGAAAAACAGTTGACATGACAATCAGCCCTGACATGAGACATGATACATAATAACAACAGGAGGACGACTCACTAGGTCAAAATTAAAGGAATACTCCAGCTTTTTTCAACATTACCTTTGTGTGCTGAGTCTGTAGCCTATGGTCACCTAGCGTATGGTCTCTGTCTTTTTTGCACAGTTTTCTGATGGACTTCTAACATCGCCTTATTTCAGGAATGCCTATGTTAATCTCACTTGTAAAATATTACACTGGTATTATTTTAATATTTGTACTATAATACAAATATTCAGACACTTTTGTTTTGATGTTTGGAGAAAGAAGGTATGTGAGCCCAAGAAGTCCATACAGATGTGGGACCATCATGACATAGGGCTGCTTCTCTGGAAATGGTACTGGGGCATTACATGTCATCGAAGGAAACATGAATGGAGTGATGTACCGTGGACATATTAGAGGAGAATTTAGTCTCGTAAGCTAAGAAATTGAATTTAGGGTTAAGATAGGATGTTTCAACAAAACAACTCAAGACATACAACTACAATAACAAGACTGCCTTCCTGTATTTTTCTTCATTTTTCATCCCCAGCTTGTTCTTTAGAGGTCTGAATTCTAAAAAGCTGCTTTGTAACAATGTTTGTTGTTAATAAAAAACACCATTCAAATCAAATTGAATTGAGTAGAACAGAAAGCTTCTATCAGGACTGCCCAGTGTGGCCTGCAAGAACATTTGATTTAGCCTCCAGAAAAATAACGCAACCCCACCCATTCATGTTTTTTAACTTTTAAAAAATAAACTTCTTGAGTTTTGTTGAATCCCATAAAATGGCATGTAAGTATTTTATAAACAAAATCTATTCGAATTTTATGAAATACATTATGTATAACTTCTTTGAAACCTGCCTACCTTTATTATATGTATACTGTTTTGTCTTTTTGGCCCTCAACCCACTGCAAACATTTTGGCCTTTTGGCCCCCAATACAATTAGTTTGGGCACCCCTTGTTTATGTAGATTTCTGGGTGACATTTTTATTAGAGTCTGCATTCTGCTTGCCTTTGAAGTCATTGACACACAGTTCTTTTAAGAAAGCTGATTTTATAAACTGCCCTCCCAACATCTTAGCACAATGATTGTTCTCTAGTTGTGGCCAGTTACTGTCTTTGATTCAGGGTTCATATCCAGGTCTGTGGCTATGAGCTACTGTCTAGCTTTAATTTGATGTTTGTTATGTCTCTTTTCTTTGACCAAAGCAGAGGCCAGTCGTCAAGGACACATCCTGTGATCCCCATAGCAACAAATATGAAATACCATGATAAAGACTAATTGAAAACTTTTAATTGAACTATGAAAATGAGCCGAGACACAAACACTCTTACATCAGCCACTTCCCACTATTTCCTATGGTCTCCCCATCGTAACAGGAAGTGTAGGAGGATGCTAAATTGTTGCTAGAGCTTCAGACAAGATGAGGTCATCTGTCTTGTCTTAGCTTAAAGCCTAAAGTTTACAAAGAGTCTTGTTCAGACTGTTACCTTATTGTCTTGATGAGGCACTTCTCCAACAGCTCAGCCCGTAATCCTAGAATAAAAAGTGCAGTGTCATTGAGGAGGCAAAAGGATTTTTACAGCAGGCAGCCCAGTTTCCTTCCAAAAGCAGCTTCTTGTGATGCCATGGACTGGATTCATGATACACAACAAAAGCGCTTCTGGCCCAGTTTCTGGTTATGTACTGACCCCTCAAATTGCCAAGACATGTCGGCAGGCCCAAAGTTTTATTATGCACTTCTATAACTTAAGAATAGCTCAACCAGTTTGGATTAAAGTCCATGTAGTTACAGAACAACAAGTCTTAGTATTAATAAGCCTGAGATTTTAAGGGGTTAAGTTTCAAGTTTAGATTTTTCCATTTTTTCTCAATTTTGATGACAACAAAAATTTGGCACAGCAAGAAACACACTATTGATTGAATGGAAATAAAAAATACAATACAAATTTAAGCAAAGAATACTGTACATACCTTTGTGTCTCACCCCTGGGCCAGTGGGGGTGGTGAAGGCTGCTTTCACTGTACTTATTCCATGTATTTTGGAGGTCATGTCCACAGTGAGAATGCCCATATGTCCATTTCTGTTGATGTGGGATTTGGGCCCAGTATTGTCCAGCAATGCAGTTGCCCTCTTAAGTGCATGGAAAAGATGTACAGATGCATATGTAGAGAATACATTCATTTATCTTTCTGTAAGTTCCACTAATCACAGGAATATCCAGTGTTTTTTCTTTCTGTGCATGTAGCCATGTGACTATCTTTGTGATCAGGCCATAACAAGGTCTTGTTGTTGCAAAGTAGGACAGGTAACGTTAGAAAAAAATCACATAAAACTCCACCATTTCTGGCAACAAATAATTAATTTTTTACTTTTTCATGTTATTCGTCAACATTATATGATATATGAACTTGCTGAACACAAGATATTTTTGTTCTGAATAGACGAGCTCAAACATAAGTAACCTTATAGCTTCAGGTTGCCACTCACCTCTTCCACCCAGTTATGCAGTAAACATCTACCAACTGGTCTGTTTTCCACATTAACCTCCGAGGAACTCATTTTAATTGCATTTTACGTGTAAAAGCGACAGCTTGAATTAATTTGTCGTTTCTAATGTCCAAACGACTGCATGTACCGAGAGACTCTCTTCGTGTTGTTTACGAGTCTCAGTTCAGCAAAGCGTTGCTCTGCGTTGCCATAGCAAATGTAAACAAAAGCCATTGTTACGTCGCTGCTTTTGTTGCTCCACGTAGGTTTCGGAAGAAGGTAAGAAAGTTTCCGACAGAGAGCTTGTAGATCATAAAGCGGCTCTGGTATCTGACACGTTACTCATTCACTCTCAGACGCATCATCTTATATTACGAAAAGAAAGGCAATGTATGTCTTGAGTAATTATTATTATTTTATTTAATTTTTAATTATTTTATACCACATTCATAAACAGAAGTTAGGTAACTCTACCCCAAACTGTTCTGTTTTCTTTTAGAATTGTCTCACACATTTAATTTGGAAACAGAACTAAAATGCAATTTATTGTTAAAAAGATCTAAAGAAGAAATATTTCCAGTGTGTTTATAGATGTAAACCTTTTCTGTTTTTTTCCTTTTCTTTCTCTCCCTCTTATTTATCTATTTCTGTATACACATAACGATCCTTATTGTTTTGTCTCTCCTTAGATTTCACAATGCAAAATTTCTCATAGCTTTAAAATCGTTGCCACGTAAGCCAAACGGCAGGACTGTTTAACATGAGAAGTTGGGCGGTTCTCACTTTAGAATCAAATTATCCAGCTTACTGAGATATCCAGCTTGTGAAATACCGCTCTGTTTTATGTATTAAGCCAAGGCCTTAAGCAGCCCGGTCATGTCCAATGATAAGAACATTGAGGTCTTTTGGGGTAATAATTACGTTTTTAAGATGAAAATGATTAAAATGTAAAATTGAAAATTGACCCTGAAAGACCAAAGAAAAGCCAACATGATGTTGTCAAGTATACAATATTAATCTTTATAAAGTAACTTTGTCTGTACTGCATGCACATCAGCCAATGAAAAATTAGCCAGGACAATTTTCACAAACTATGAAGATCATCTTGAATCAGAGCATCCTGTGTTTAAGGTGGGCTGTAAATTGCCGGTGTGGAGCAGTCTGAATGCTGAATGCTATATATACATATTAACCAGATGGCTTACAGCAGTCTTTAGACTTCTCACCATGTGCTTTAAAATCAAGCTCAGCAGCAGAGCTAGGTTATGCAGAGCACTGATTAATTGCTAGTCCAGTTTAAATCCAGTGCTGGGTGCACACAATACTGCACAGCTTAGCATTGTCTCTGCTCTAACAGCACTGATAGTGAGCTGTTTCACTTAGAGCTTACAGAACTCCAAGCAGAAATCATAATAATGACTGAGGCTTTTTGAGACTGGTATTGACACTGCTGTATTATCTTACTGCAAATCTGTTAGGCCTAACTGAACATAAAAAAACAAACCCAGATGTGATCTGCAAAGGCTTTTCTTGACTGAGATGCTTTGCTTTTCTTCTGCGAGAGCTTGATTTCCCAATTTGCTCACTGGTAAAGCTTATAGGCACAATTTTTTGTTATTCAGCCAGTATCAGACAGAAGCTGTGGGGTGGAACGAAACAGAAAGCTTGGGAGATTCAAGATGATTTTTGCCAGGCTAACAGTCAAACCCTTCATAAGTGAAAACAGAAGTAGAAGAAATTCAACTGTGACCCCTTTGGACTGGATCTGAGTAACAGAGCTGTATTTACCTTATGTGGAAGCTTACTACTATGCCCTGTTGGCTCAGTTTGACAAGAACTGTTGGCAGAGTGAAGAACCAGTCAACTGACTCATCTTTCCGAAATATGTGAGGATTATCAGTACTGCATGTATAAACAATAAAATAATAGGACTACATTGATATAGAATTTCTGGGCCGGTAACAATGACTGATAAATAACACTTTGTTATGAATGATATTGATACCAAAAAAAATGCTTATTTAATGATAATAATAATAATAATAATAATAATAATAAGAAGAAGAAGAAGAAGAAGAAGAAGAAGAAATTACTGCTGCTTCAATATTGGACCGATAACAATAAATCAACAAACAAAAGATCAGCTACTGATATATTGTGCACTACTATAAAACAGGCACCTCATCACTGGAAAAAGGATTAAATGCCCAGTTGACTTGTATGAAATAGAGCATTTGTCTCTTCAGCATTTCAGTCTTCTGCCTGTCCATACCCTTCTTCCACAATCCATCTTTCTATGCTCTGCATGCAACAGTCGAGTGCCATAACCAGCGTGACTCTAAAGTGAGCTGATGGATTAGTTCTCAGAGTGATACACAGAAACCAGTCTGTAGGTTTCTCCCTAGAGGACTGATGGATGAGTGGGAACAGGAAGGGAGGATAGAACTCTAGAATAGTTGTCAGGAAAGTGGAACGAAAGTGGAATCATTACATCCTATCCAATCCAATTCCACAAAGTTACTTGCTCATGATAGGGTAATTTCCCCAGCCATCCTCAAAGCCACAAGTCATTGCACTCTAGAATACTGAACTGATGTGAGATTATGAGTTTGAAGTGGTTTACAAGCAATGGTTGGGCGGTGCGAGACGTGGGAATTTGTATGCGCTGTTTTAATGTCTTTGTGGAAACAAAACATAACCTTTGATACAGTGGAGACATTTTGTTAGTCCCCATAATAAAAAAATAATTAAATTATTTATTCACTTAGGCGGCACAGTGGCGCAGTGGGTAGCGTTGTCATCTCCCAGCAAGAAAGGCCTGGATTCAACTCCCCGCCTGGGCGACCAAAGTCCTTTCTGTGTGGAGCTCTGAGTCTGAAAGAATGTGTAGCTGTTAGGAATCCATTACTGAGAAAAGGAAACAGAAAGAAAATTTCCAAATCAAACAAAGAAGCTGCTGGTGTTCTCAGAACAATAGACTGGCCTCCCCAACGACCAGACCTCAACATCACTAAAGCTTTGGATCATGAGAAACAGAAAATACAACCAAATTCTAAGATTTAATGTGGGAGGTGTGAAAAAACATTCCTGCATATTCATTGGCACTGCTGACAGAAAATTAAACAAATGAATGGTAGTCTCTGACTTTTGTATAGTATATACACATAGTTCAAGATAGTAATGTAAGAATAGGCATATGTGGTGTGTGTGTTTGTGTTCTTCCACAAATCTGTAAGTCCTGTACAAAATCATATGTTTTTGTATACAGCCACATGTACTGCATAAATCCAAGAATGAATCATACACCTTTTCAGTAAATATAATCCAAGCTTATACATCACCCTAAATTTGTACATGATGCCTTGTAATAATACTAGTAATGTCATGTAGCTATGAAAGATAATCATAGTATATCATAAAATACCACTCAAGCTTAAGTGTAATAACAAACCATTTAACAGACTCAGAAATTTGAGAGGAAATCATAGTCTCTGTGGGCCAGTTATGCAAGACCTCTCTCCAGTACCAGCTGTTCCTCATGGAAGGATTAAGCCAGCTTTTCAGGATATTAGCAAACCAGTTGTGAAGTCATGTTTTTCACTAATGCCTCATTATTTATGCACAGACATGTAGATACAACAATTTATTGCTGTTATATCAACATTTCCAAACTGTTTTTCAGTTTTTGTTCTAAAATTACTTTGAATAAAAGTAGTTGTGCATTATATGATGCGGACCAGCCCACCCCAAACTCTATCTGTATTTTTCCTGCCAAATACCCCCCCCACACACACACACACAAATTACTGCCTTTGTGCAAAATAACTTTTTCTAAAATCTGCACCATTTTCTTTATTTCTTAGTCTTATTTTTTTACATACCACACTGAGACAAATAAAGTGGCTAGCTAGTGACAAACGTTTTTGTCTTATATGAGACATAATAATGATAGTCAATGTGCAACAAACTAATGCTAGCTAAGTCACCATTTCTCTCTGCCACCTACTCGGATATGTCCTCATCCTCCTTAAGCAGCTTTTTCATTCTTGTCTTCTTGTTGCCAGTTTGATTTTTTGCAGTTGCGTCAGTCAGTACCAAATTCTTCATATTGTTTCGCATTTTGATATGCTAATCTTGACATGAGACTTAATAAGCTGGGACACACAAAATAAAAATGCTATAAGAATCATAATAAACATACAACTACAATGATTTTTATTCAATGTTTTGCAAACTGCGATGCCCTAAATCCATATGAACAGACCTAATTTTGTAATAAAATATGTAGTTAGTCTATGTGCTTTAATTGTGACATAATTTATAATGATGACAATAAAATATTGTCATATTGGCCACCTCTAACATGACTTTAAAAGCAGTAGATTTTTTATGATATGGACAATAAGAGAGTTTTTGTTACGATTAATTGGTTTTCAGATTTTATTTATTTTATTAAATCCAAGAGCATAATGTCCTCGACAGACTTGAGGAGCGAGGCACAGAAGGAGATTTAATCTGTTCTATGGAACTCTTGATGTTGAAAAGCTAAGTTCTCCCCTAGGCACAATTAGCATGGAGAGTTGGATGCTTCGTGCTTGTGTTGAGAAACGCTGTCTGTGTTTGTCTTGAATCCTAACAATTCAGCATGTGCGTTTCTGAAAAACCGTCTCCCTTGAGTGCTTAATGAATGTGGTCGGATTCTTCCATGAGTCTCTCGATGTGCACTCGAAGGAACAGTGTGCGCCAGCTGTGCCAGATGGAGCTCTGTGTTCAGCTGAAGGAGCTGCACTGGATCTGACTGAGCTTCTCTCACTAGCTATGTGAAGATATAAGCCATATGTAATCATCAGCAGCATGCTGTCTTATATCTGTAAATAATGACGTGGTAACTCGACCTTCGCTAAGTGGTTTCCAAAATGCAATCACAGAATCACACACAGACACTCTCTGAGGTAATTCTGAAGAGAAGAAAACATTTCTCACAATTTTTTTAATAACTGAGCAGCAGCAGAACAGCTGTTTGACAAAACGTGTGCTAGCTGACAAAGAAAAGAACAAAAAAAAGGCATTTTCAGGAGAACACTTCTAAATTCTTGACACAGCGACACTTTGAGTGTTTAGTCTGGGAACGGGATTAGCAATTGCTAACAAGAAACACTGGGCCTTATTCACCAACTGTACTTAAGATGAACTTTCTTCTTAAAACCCATTTACACAGTTTTCATGAAGATTCTGACATTCACCAATGTTTTCTTATTCAGGATTTGTTTTTAGGTAAGAGCAGAATCTAAGGACTCTCAAGAACACAAAGATACGAACCATTCTTCAGTTTAAGAAAACATTGTGAATCTGATATGTACTTAGGACTTTTCTCAGGAACAAATTTAAAGAAAAACTTGATATTGGTGATTGAGACCCATTTTTTGTGAACACTGTTGTAACTTGCAGTGCTAATTAAATTATGATTGTATCAATATACACATCTCAAAATGGTTATCTGTTATCTCGATGGGGATCTCTTATTATTTCTTTCTTTTAACTATCAATTAAGCTAAGCTAGCTGCAGTGCCATTAAGTGCAATCAGTAGGGAAGAGTGATACACAACCCAGCATGGGGTAAACCTGAACATAGCTTTTTATGGTGTTAAACAGGTTTAAACAGAATGTGGTTCTGCTTTAATTTATGTAATCTTAAGTGTTTTTCATTTACTGGGCTGTGCATAGTCACAGAACTCATATTAATTTAATCACCCACTTGGTGACTATAACAGCACCATTCCAAAGCACATAAACAACTCACTGAGTAGAGCTGCACTAATGTACTAATGTTTGTTGTGTTAAGATACTAACTGAGATAGTCAAATAAGAGCAACCTATATCTCCCCTATATGTTCAAAACAGTTCATTTTTCAAAACTTCAGTTTTAAGATGCTGATACTGGCTGTTCCACTTTGCAGTCACAAATAAATTTCCCAGCATTTGACAATATTTCACAATATTTCTTGTTACTAGACATTTTTATGCATTTATTTATTTTATTTATTTTGGTTGAAAAGTTAATTTGGTTCTAACATCACAATGCTGCACTTTTCTACTTTTAGTAGAAAAGTCTGGTAAATTGATGCAAGCACAGTGATTCAGCGCAACCCCACAATCACTTCTGGGGTCAAGTTGTAACATTTGCGTTCACGTTGCTTTTGTCATATTCACAAACGGTATGAGCTTGAAACAAAGTATGTTTTCATCTGTAGAAGCGCTTGCTTGTCTAGAATTTGAACCACATAAAATATTAGTTCTGCTGAAATATTTCACAAATCATTTGTGTTGAGCTCTGCACGAATAATAAACACGTGTTAAAAATCCCCCTTTAACCACTTACAAGCCCTGTTCCTGCCGAAGTAGCGAGAACGTTCTCCTGAGGCACAACATTATGGCTGTTCCTCTGTGGTGTTAAAAAAAATCCCGCCATTAGCTCGGGAAGGTGCGCGTGTCCATTTTAAAACGCGGCATTTCTAACCGTCGCTGCTCCAGGGGCTTAGATCAACATTCCCCCGCCCAGTGTTTACAGTGTGTCCTATGTGTGGTCACTCGCCCTAGCCGAGTTTTGGAGGGGGATCCGATTTTCTCAACCTCAATTAATTCTTCCGTCGCTTCTGGGGAAGAGGAGTCAGGCGCTTAGGGATTTTTTTCTGGCTCCTCTCTTGCTTGCCTCTTTTCCGTCGGCTGTGCGGTATGTGAGGGCTCCGAATGTAGCCGAGCACATTTAGCATTCTTGTGGTCGGTGCTGCTGAATATGGGGAATTTAAGGTGTGACAGAGAGCAGTGTTTTGTGCAGCAGAGATTCACCTTGCCAAGGTGGACCCTGACAGCCTACAGCAAATAACAAATAATGGCTTTCACTCGAGGTAACCAAGTGTAGTCCACAGGCCACAGCACAGTTGGACTGTATTCTTCATGCTCTGTCACTCTGCTTGACGGTTAGTTGTGTTGACTTGTGTTGCTCAGGATTGGAGTTTGGCACAACTACAGCTGGTTCATTCAAGTGGTCTCTGTCTCTCTTGCTCTCTCTCACACACACAGGTCCACACACTGGCTTTAATGAAAATTCTGGCTCTTTATCAAGGTAATTTAGCATTGTTTTGTTCTTTTGTGTGCTGCTGCAGGTGTTCAGATTATAGCCTATTAAGCTTGAAGCAGTGCTTTGTTCACATGGACAGATAAGAAATTTTCAGTAGCAGTGTCTAATGCTACATACAGTAACCACTACCAAAGTAAGGTTTTATTATGTATTACAGTATTGTCACATTGTTTTACTCTTTATAAAGCTTTGCAAGGCCTCTGCAAGATTTTGGTTTCTGATCTTTGGAAATGTATGTTGGTATGAACAAGGGTGAAGTCCTGAGCCAGTCTCTTGTTTTCAAAATGCCACTGACATAACTCATTTTATTCAACACAACTACAAGCTTCTTTTCCAAAAACATCCTGTAATGTCCACTATGGGCAATTAAAATTTTAAACCTAAGGGGTTAAGATGATGTAGAATGTGCAAAAACAGAAATACTTCCACAGTTGAATGAAAATACAGACCTAGACTGCTATCTATCAAAGATGATAGCAGTTTACTAGCTGATGTAAGAGTAAATTTAATGAAATGGCAGTTTTTTGTCTACAGGTGTATATATATATATATATATATATATATATATATATATATATATATATATATATATATATTTATGTACATATATGTATATGTTGGCTGAAAAAAACAGCCAACACTTGTTCTCCTTACAGCAGGAGTAGGGAACTAGGGGCTGGAGGTTTTCAGCACAACTTGATGGTTTTGCTGTTCTAGCACATCATCTAAACCTGGTAAGATAACTAAATGCTAAGTTGAATCAGGTGTGCTTTGCCAGAAAAATCACCAAATTGTGTAGGAATCCAGTCCTCCAGGATCAGAATTGGACACCCCCGCTTTGGAGAATACCTATCTAGATGTTGCCTTGTCAACTTACTTGTGAGATTTTCAACTCAGCACTGCACTTCTGTTGTTCAGACTGAGCATTAGTAAACAGAAAGCTTCACACCAGAATTTTCAGTACAAATCAAACCAAAGAATTGCCCCTGATGTCCACAGCCCAGATGTTAAACAAAACAATACTAGCAAAAACTGAACAGATTCAGAATTGTTCACTTAAATATGTGCTAATTGATTTTAGAATGAAGTGGTGAACCTGCAACATCATCCACTCTAGTGATGAATGGGCTTTTAGGTATGCATCCTTTAAAATTCATAGACATGCATGAGTTACATACAAGAACCAATGGTCAGTAGCCTGAAAAAATCTGCATGTTTCTTTGTTCACATTATTATTTGTTGTCAGTGTTTGTAAATAGGAAAGTCAACTGAGAAATAATGTTATTCTTAAAATTTATTTTTGGAATAAAAGTATGCATTTCACAAAGCTGATGTAATAATTGTGGCATTAATCAAACCAAACATAACCATTAAATAAACAAATAAATGCTGCTATTTATTATTAGTACTTAATGAATTAGTTAATTATTAGTTACTAGTCTGAAATTAGCATAAGCAAGCTTTAGCAGTCGGTCAGTGTAATAACCCCAATGTAATAACTTGGCAACTTCTTTGAGAATGTGAAAATTCATTCAGGTCTACAATTAGAAGTTTAACAGCAGGTCCCACAACAGGCTGAACTCAACTGTTTAAAAAGGCCTTTAATAAGCGTGCCACTGACCCCCAGCAGTCAAAGACAATAGAAGGTGTTTAAAACTGTTCTCTTTTTCTTTTTTTCAACTCTGCCCTTTCTTTTTTCCCCCTTCACTCTTCAGAAGACACTCTCCCTTCTGTCTCGGGAAATCAACAGGGCGTACTTGACAAGCAGAGGGAAAGAACTTATTTCAGTCATGTAAGTGCGCTCCATTGCCGAATCTCCACGACATAATCGAATTTGTGGCAGTTAATAAGTGCTATTCATCAGATGGGGATTGGGGGTGGACTCAGTATTTACCTAGCTGGAATAACACTTCAGCCCGGGCCGAGCAGCCTGCCTCCGAGTGTTGTTTTAGCAAGGTTTTTGCTGCTCGGGTTATGTGAGAGCCACTGTCTCTTCTCCAAACGTGGCCGGAGAGCTTTTCTTCGGGCCCCTGAGCCTGGGCCTTGTGTTTTGCTTGGCAGACGGGGGCATAGTCAGCTGGCCTGCACATTCTGGAAGCAGAGCTGATGCTGTTAAAGCACCTTCTTTTCCTTCGAAGGGACGGTGTGAGGAAGAAAGAGGCGAGGGGCTGTTAACTTGGCCTCTTCATTGTAGCACACAAACACCTTCAGCTGTGGCCAGCTGCCACACGTTCGCAATTTTCTTCTGTGCTGCATTCGCTTCACCCCCCAAAAAAAGGGAGAGAATAAAGGAGCAAGATGAATAGACGCTCAGCATACTCCAAAGGACACAGGAGTGACCTTTGCCTTTCATTCTAGGTCAGCTTTCTCCATTAAGGCATTTTAGGTCTTTTGATCTTCATCTTCTGTATCATCCATTTGCTGCCCTGGGTAGTCATACAAATGCTGCTTATATGTCAAGCCCAGTGAGTAAAAGAAAGAGTTCCCTTTATTTATCTATAATCCATGCCGTTTCTTGTTACAAGTGATATATGCAGTGACATAGGACCCCCGAGCTACAAGGAGCCCTGTATATTGTCACGATTGGGACAAACCCATGTATCTTTGTTTTTGTATTTTTTTTTTTTACTTAATTTAGAAACACCCTTTACCCTTTGTGCGAGATTTTCATAATGAACGGAACAATAGAAATGGTCCAAATTTAAAATATCTTTTTGCATTAAATTCCATTATAAGATTTTGTTCTGACAACGACGATATATTCATATTATTGTATATTAACATTTATTTTATTATTTTTTATTGTCTGTGTCAATCATTGTGATACTGGCATTGTTTAATTGTGATTGATGTGGTTAATGTAGAACTATGCATGTTGTGGAAAATGCTTTTCTTTTTGATTCATTAATTGATTACATTGTAAATATCCATACATTGTAGGCTAGTGTTTTAAAGAAATGTTTGGAATTAAATGGGCCTACTCAGTGCTATATTTGACCATTTCTTCTCTACTCGCATATACCAGTTTGATATATACCAGTTTCATATTAGCTCTGCGTCTGCTAACGATTACTTGAACAAAGGAACAGTACGTTTTGTAGTCTGTAGTTTGAATGATGGAGACTGCTAGATTACAGCTCTAGTGGTAGATTACTACACTGATTGGCTTGACCGTGTTCAAAGTGTTTTTCATAGCTAAGACTATGCATCAAGAACTACGGCCACATCTGTAGTCCTGTACAAAATGTTCAAACCAGATGACTAGATACATATTTCTTATGCATAGATTAATGAACTGAATATGATTAGAACAGATAGTAGGCTTGTTGCCAGTAACATATACACTCACTGGCCACTTTATTAGTACTCTTACCTTGTATCTACACACATTTTCTATTTTATCAGGCCCACTTACTGGACAGGTCCACATACTATAGTCCTAAAAGTGCAGATTGTAGTCTAGCTGTTTCTTTGTATAATTTATTGTTCTTGTTTTTAACACCATTCATCAAGGGTCAGGAACCCCCCCAAAGACAACCATGGAGCAGTTATTATTTGGGTGGTGGATCATTCTCAGTGCTGCAGTTAGAGTGGTATGAGTGATATGTTGGTATTTGTTGCAGTGGTGTAAGTGTTTCAGACACAGCGTGTTGCTGGAGTTTTTTGTGTGTATCTTTTGCTGCACAGTTTTGATGTTAGTCATCATCTAGTCCTTCATTAGTGGTCAGTTTCTAGCCACTGTACAGTCTAGAATGGATATTTTGTTTGTTGAACTTATTTTCAGTCCAGCAGGGACACTGAGTTGTTTAAAAACTCTATTAGCACAGCTGTGTGAGCCGAATTGTGCAGCTATGTGGTAAGAAGACCTGATAAAATGGTTAATTAGTGTAGATACAATGAGTGGACCAAATAAAGTAGCCATGTCTCCCCGGCTGTTTGTGTGGGTTTCCTCAGGGTACTCCGGTTTCCTCCCACAGCCAAATACATGCAGTCAGACCAATTGGACATGCTAAATTGCCCCTAAGTGTGAATGTGTGTGTGGATGTTTTTGTCTGTCTGTCTGTCTGCGATGGATTGGTGACCTGTCCTATCCTGCCTTCTGCCCAATGACCGCTGGGATAGGCTCCAGAACTCACAACCCAGAAGGATAAGTGGTTTAGAAAGTGTGCGTGTGTGTGTACAACAATGTCTGGCATCAAGGTGCCATATTTGTAGCCATTTCATTTAATAACTTTATGTGAGGTAGCTTGTAGAGATATTAAATGCTTTAAATCTCTTGTTCCTATCACCACTTTTATGAACAATCCTTACTTTAACTTTCTTCAGAAGGGAGCATTTCCCATCACAACACTCTGAATTACTTTATTTACATTTTGATGTTTTGATGAATTAGTATTAAAAGATTGGTGAAATACTGTCTGTACTTTCTGCTCCTCCATCATGCAGAGTACAGAAAACCATGGGCCATGGGAGAATGAGAAAGATGGGTATTTTAAAAAAAATCCACCTTTCAATCTCAAGTGATAACCAAAAACTAATTTCATTTTATAATACATGATCAGCAAACAATCGTTAATTGTAAAACTATAGGTGTAGTGCACCTACGTAGTAAGTGGACCTGATAAAATGATTTTTTTATTTCTGTATTATTAAACAGTTAAGAGTCATTCAGAGTGTTTTGGTGTGAAATGCTCTGTTGTAGAGAAATTGACTGAGTCAGAATTGGTGTGGTGACAGGAACCAGCCATCTGAAGAATGCAATGCCTCTAAAAGCTCCCTCATGGAAAGTTATTATATTTGATGGTTACAAATACCTGATGCCTGAGACATGATAGATTTGAAATAAAGTTTAAGATTAAAACATATATTTAAATTCGATTCATGGTAGAGGGATACATGCAGAGTGTTGTAAGGCAAATAAAGTCTTCCTCATTTTTTTTTCTATTGTAACATTATAAGCATTGCATATAAAAGCTGGGTTGTAAATAAAATGGCTATACTTGTGTTGTAGACATTGAAACCCCTGGTTCCTATGACCACTGTTGGTAAATTCCTCTACAGTGAACCATTTCATACCAAAACAAAAATTGTATGAGTCAATCCCAGAATTATGCTTACATTTCAAAACATTGGTGGAATTCCCCTTTAATTGCTGTTCTTTAAATATCAAATATGTTCTTCACAATCAGACATCTCATTTTTAAAATTAGTTCTTCAAAGAGCCATCAAATGGAAGATCCTTTAGAGATCCAGAAGGGTTTTTTCTCTGACATCGCTGCAAAGAACCCTTTTTGACACCTTTATTTTTAAAAATGAACCAAGATTTTGTTCCATGCAAAGCCAAATAAACATTAACAATAAATTAATATGGTTCCAGGCTTAATATGAATTCAAGAATTTGTTTTGATAGATAAAAGCCTTGGTGGGGACTAAACCTTCAAAATCTTGAATTTATCTTGCATTGAAGTTTATTACAAAATAATACTACCACATGCAATTAAAACAGCTGGTTCTTCAAGGGTTAGTAAAGAAAATGGTTCTAGATAGAACCATGAACACTCAAAGAACCCTTCTAATGATTAAAGTGTTCTTTGCATCGTAATTGTAGAATTACAGAGTGCAGCTATATGGTAAGTGGACCTGATAAAATGGACAATGAGAGTAGATACAAGATATGTGTGCTTAATACAGTGGCCAGTGAATGTATATACAGTGTGTATGTTCAACAGAAAAGCTGAGAGTATGTTATTCTCTGGTCTGTCCATACCACAGACATGCAGTCTAGCTGCTGGACCTCACAAAAGTGAGCGTGGTTCAAATTCCTCTACTGTCCCATTCCCGGTTTATGGTTGTAGAAACAGCTCCGTTATGAGCATATGGCCAACAGCTGTCCTCTGACAGCTCCAAGATCTGCCTGTAGACACCTGCACAAAAGTCACACACGAGCCACTCGCACATCTAAACACACACTGCACTGTTGTGACAACAGTAACCAAAACTGGACTGGACACACACAAAGGTCAGTACTTAAATTGGCCATACCATCCAATACAAGTATATAAAATCAGTGATTTGAAGCAGCACATGGACTTTGATGGAACTGAACATAGTGTTGAGTGGTGTTAGTTTGAAAAAATAAATAAAGCACAGCTTGTGCTGACAGCTGATTACTGGAGCTTGTGATTAATTTCACTTACATTAAAAAAAAAAAAAGAATTTGTTTTTTTTTGTGTCTACATTGGCCATTGTGGAAGATGTATAGGCACAGATAAATGTCTTGTTTCTAGTTATTGTACATCTCATGTGAAGCATAATTTTTCCATTTCTTGTTTCTCTTTCCCAAAATGTCAGCTAGATTAATCTCTCTGATGCAATAAGTGCACTATCATCTTGATTTGGTTCCGCTCACTCAGTGAAGTTATTCTTACTGATTACTTGACCTCAAAATATGGTCCAGTATATCATGTTTGCCTGTTTCGTCTAATGTTTACTCTGCTCAGACACACTTGTATACAAAAGTTTGGGTGCCCCAGTCAAATGACGTTTTGTTGATTTTCTAAGTATAAAAAATGTTACACATCCTCTACAATGAACAAACTTGTGAACATTTTAATGCGTAATTACTGTTCATTTGCTGAATTTAACATGTTGGGTAAAAAAGGCATAAAATGTGGCCTTGGTAAAAGAATGGCACATTTTATATTTCGTGTTTTATTTTCTCCAATATGTTAAAATCAATAAATAGAAATTGGGGGTGGTGACAGGAAAGAGTTATCTGAAGAATGCAGTGCTGCTTCTAAAAGCTCCCTCACAGAAAATGACATTTGATGTTTACAAATGCCTGATGCCTGAGACTTGATAGATGATAGATTTAAAATAAGGTTTAAGTGTAAAACATATCTTTAAATTCAATTCATGGTGGAAGGGTACATGCAGTGTTGTATAGCAAATAAAGGTTCCCCCATTTTTTTTTTATTGTAACATTATAAGCATTGCATATAAAAACTCATTCAGTGGTGGTTTGGGTTGTAAATAAAATGGCTATACTTGTGTTGCAGACATCGCAACCCCTGGTTCTGGTTCCTATGACCACCATTGGTAAATTCCTCTACAGTGAACCATTTCACACCAAAACAAAACTGTATGACTTTGTTTATATCTTAATTATGGAATTATGCATATATCTCAAAATATTGGTGGAATGTTAATTGCTGTTCTTTAAATATCAAATGTGTTCTTCACAGTCACACATGTAATTTTTAAAATTAGTGCTTGAAAGAGCCATCAACTGGAAGATTCTTTAGGGATCCAGATGGGTTTTTTATGATATTGCTGCAAAGAATCCTTTTTGGCACTTTTATTTTTAAAAATGAACCAAAGTTTTGTTCCATGCAAATACACATTAAATACATTAATGATAAATTAATATGATTCCAGGCTTGATACAAATTCAAGAATTTGTTTTGATAGATAATAACCTTGGCTGGGGACTGAACCTTCAAAATTTATATAGTTCTGTAATCTATACAGAACTATGAACACCCAAAGAACCCTTTGCATTATTGAAGGGTTCTTTGCATCATGAAAGTGTTCTTCAGATTGATAAAGAATATGCTCTATATTGCACCAAAAAGTGTTCTGCCATTGTTATAATACGAGCTTGTAAAAATAGCCCAACCCTTGTTGCTCTATAGAAACCTTTTCAAAAAAGTTCTGTATAGAACCATCTACAGCACATTCTCCATCAATCTGAAGGAAACTTTCACAATGCAAAGAAACCGGTTCTATATAGAATCATTTTCTTTAATAAAGAGACCTTGAAGAACCATCTTATTTAAGTGTTGTTCAAAAGTTTAAAAAAGGCTATACATACGTAGTCAATGCATAAGTTTAAACACAGTCTGAAAATTTAGCTTATCCCAATACCCCAAAACATTTTCAAATGTTTAAATAGTTTTATTATTATTTTGGATTTGAAAAGTACAGAAACGAGTGATATCTGCAGTCACCTGCTTCTCTTACCTTCTCCAAGGCGTTTCCATTTTTGGCTAAATGTAATTGCTGCATTTTAAAGGGAGTTGGCTGATGTTGTTCCCTGTTAGTGCCACAAACATCATTACATTAATGAATAGAAAAATAGTCTAAGTCTGGATCAGGAATGATTTAAGATAATGTTTGTTTTTTTTTTTTCTTTAAATATACACACAGTAAAAGGACTGTGTTTAGTGTATTCTGCTGGTTCTCTATATAAATGTATGTTTTCATGTAAAAAATTGAAACCTTTAAAAAAAGATTTAAAAAATGTATTACTTTATTTATTTATTTAGAAATGTGCTTTTGTAAAACTATTAGGATGGTTCTTTTTGCTATCTAACGGATATTAAAAGAACAAAAGGGGAAAAAAACACACAAATTGTAAGGGCTGACATCAAACCTGTCGCAAGATGAGGGCTAATGTGCTAATTAAGTGGGGTAGAGATGACATTTCCCATTTCCGTGACACTATGGACTAATCTTGTCACCATGCTGACTTTAATGACTCGGGGACCAGTACAATCGCAGCATGAGTACTCCTAATTACAAAGCTCTGGCCTAAAACAGCGGGAGCTCTATTGGTCTCAACACTTAAAACTTGAAATAAAGGAAGGATGAGTACATATGAAGCAGTTTCAATGTATACATTTCATTAACCTAAATGGTTTTTTATCATAAGGGTAGCTAATGAGCTAACTCATAGTAGCATTCCAACTCAAACAAAGCTCAATTCAGAAATGTGAAGAATTCATCTATTTAGACTTTTTGGTTGCACTCAAGAAATGTCCTGGGATGCTTGCTTATTTTCAGTTTTGGCAGGGCCCCCTGTGGCATACTGGCTATCAAACAAGGCATTCTAGGAATAATCACCTTGTCCCTGTGGCCCCAACCTAATTATTCCATCTGTTTCTTTCTTCCTCTCTTTCTCTCTTTCTCCTTCTTACACTTGTGGATGAAATCTCTTGATAAATGGTTATTAAGCTGTGCAATGCACTGTAGATGAACTATCTGAGGATATGCAAATGGTGAGGCAGCTTTAAATGTAAATAGGATGCCATGACAAATGAAACAGAACATTATTCTGAAAAACATGCTAAGCAAAACTTGAAGAGAATTCTTCAGAGAAGACTATCCTCAGCACAACTAAGAAAGGATATAAAAGAATAACCCACAATGTCTACATGCAAGAAAATAATTGCATCCACTTGTGATAGAAATATTATATTCTTATAGAACTTTAAAACTAGCCAACTTATGAGTATAAGT